AAGAGCAAATCAGCTTTCTCATTTGCAGGAGCAGACAAGTGCATATAATGGGTTGGAAGAAGGTGCCTTTCCACTTCTTAACAGACGGCCCGAAACCGCATGCCTCACACCTTATATTTCACAAAATCATGAAACTGAGTTGTAGAAGATCTTGCATTGAATATTAGGATGGTAGAGTGCAGCCAACTACTGCCTCAGTTCATCTTATAGCCTAGTTTATACAACTTTTTGTTTCGATGAATAATTCATGGTATAAGAAATATAGCAGAGACCTGATGAGGATTACCACGCCTAGATGGTACGCAGTGCTTTTGCTCCATACAATAGTAGTATTAATATTTTTATACATTTTGAGGGTTTCTATTCATTACGGAATTTCATTTCAGTATGCTTCTTTACTGCCACCTAAATGTTTTTTTATTTGTATGATTTTGGATGGTAATTTAGACCAAACCATATTCCCCTTTAACGATTTCTTTATTAATAATTATATTCTCTTGGGTATGAATAAAGTGTGGGTCAAAATATTAGGCTCTGAATTACTACTGGGGATTTCCACGGCATCCGATAGAAAAAAATCCGCCACTCTCTACTCTAATGAAATAATTTCAAATAACTTAAGCAGTCGTGAAGTACCTCAATAATATGTTTCAAATGTTTGGATTAGTGCACTGGGTATTGTAACTACTTCATTTCATTTAGCTTCTTTTTATTCAACATCTTTTTTTAAGCCACAAGTATAAGGTTCTGAGTTTCTTTGCCTAGTCATTTTCCCATAAGTGCTGTGTGTTTTTAGCCAGTTTGGCAAGTACTGTTTTGGAGAATCAAGTGATAAACAAACAAGTTAGGTCAAAACAATAGTAATGTTGCATGATATTCTTGATGAAGAAGCAGTAAACTTGTGTATTCTTGATCAAGGGATGATTCAAAAAGTAATCGCGACAGGTGGACAAGTTCTAAAGCAGTAAAACATATGGCCTTTAATGCATAATTTTTCGATAAAATCCTACTAGCTAATATGCTAAAAAACAATAGCCTAAACCTCTAAATTGTCCACTTTTGTATTTGCCCTTAGATAGCTGTTTGGTAGATTCTTTGTACGTGACATCGATAAGTCCACTGTTGGGGGAAACCATGCAAGTGACTTGCCGCCCATTTCATGTGAACATTGACGAATATAACTATTTCTCATCGGTGGCATACCTAAAGCCCAAAATACTTTTGCTTCACAGAAAGCTACCGCCTCTGTGACATTATTAGGATAGGACTTTTGAAGAAATCTTCAAGCTCTAGTGTATCACCACTAAACTTCCGAGTACAGTGTCCGAGAACTTTCTGGGTAGGAGTCGCATTACGGTTGCAAAAGTAAATCGTTACCACTCCCCTTCAAAATCAACCTTTTTAGGGCAAATTATGATGTTTTTATAAAAAGTTTAAAAGATTTCTTGCTTATGCAAAAGTTTATATTTCCTGAAGATCAATTTATCGTATTAGTTTGGATGTTAACTCTAAACTACCAAACACTACTGAATTCAACAACCAAACAAACATGTTTAAATACCGGAAATTATCCCGAAAAAAATAATTTGTATTTCTCGTGTTAGATTTATTCAAATCCACAAACATGCTTGTTTTTAATTCACTAGTTGCCATACCACTTGTAGGATTTTAAGCAGAGATTGTGATGCTATGCAAAATGAAACGTATGTCGGAGTAAGCGATACGTAAACAAAAGGACCTTTGAAACAACCATAGTTGAACGTTTCGACGAAACTGTAAACCATCGCTTTGTGAGCTTTTACACACAAAATATAACAACTTTCTCATCCAAATGCAAACTTAACAGACCTTTTTGGCTTCACTTCTGTTTATATTTTTTATGTCTAATGTACACACTAAACACGGTAAGGGGAATTATTCGCCAAATAAATAAAGTGCTATTTTGAATCAATTAAGTATGCGTCAATGGTCGTAAATTTAAATATTATGCACAATTTTACAAATAATTTATGGTATGTAGGAGTAATTGGGCTTTAGTTTGTGAGGTAAATGCTTAAGACCACGTTGAGTACGCCCAGGATAGAGGGACGTCTAAAGAAGCGACAGCAAGAATTGCGTTGTAATGAGGCTTCCCATTCACGTCAGGCTGTTTTAATGGGTATTTAAACGTTTTAATGACTTTCGCCTGGCCTTTTCTACGTCGGTAATATATTTGATTTTGGAAAAGTGACTACGATTTTGTTGCCTACTCTTATGAAGAATTTGATAATGTTACTTGGGGACGCCTTATTTATTGTTACCTCAATCGGGGCGCCAAATACTTCATCGAAGAAATGAATTTGAGTCAGCCAGCTAGAATTATTAAGTCAAAAAGATAGGGGTTAATAAAATTACGGCAAATGTGAATGAATAAATTTAACATCTCTCACGATTCATGATAAGTAGTAGATCAAAACTCGTAACATGGACTTTCTCTAACACAAACAGATTGACGCAATTCTCACAAAAATAGTGCACTTAAAAAATTTTACTTTTGTCGGGAAATGAGAAGAGTTTGTGTAAACTACTAGAAGATTTCAATGTTACAAATCAAACAAAGAAGAAACCCGACCGGTGCATATATTATTTAACATCCACGCTACTTGTTAAATACGATTAAAGATAAATAAAAGTTTTGTAAAGACTCGGCGAAAATGGCGTAGTAAGTCTAAAATTAATGCCATATTTAGCGGGAAGGCAGATTTTTATCTACTTTAAGATATAAAATTTTTTTGCTTATTGGAAGGCTGGTGTGAAATAGTGGTGAAATATAAATGAGAAATAACAATTAAGCAAATCGTTTAGAGGCTACAATTACTTTGCGATTTAGCTTTTGGAAGAATTATTCGACGAAGTTTATGTGATTGATAGGTATTATGCTCAAGAATGAACCAAATTAATTAATTGCAACACTGAAGTCATGGGGCTTCCTTAATGGTGAGCCCTTCTAATGGTTTTCTTCTTGTAGGCGGTGTATTGTATAGATATCATCGGAAGTTAGAACCCTTTCTATAAAGTTTCAATCTAGTTTCCTTAAGTTTATTTGTTTCCTCCCTATGCTTTTAACACCCTAACTACAAAAATAACGATTAAACGACAATCAAACGTCGAGTAGTATCTAGCGTGTTAAGCTCTGCCTTTCATGCGTAACAGCCTACATGACTCCGGTAATGTTTTTGGTAGTTTTGAGTTCTTGACTTCCCTGCACTCTAGAATTAATCTTATTTATGAACCTGTCCCCATAGCTCTTTCCATGAGAGCCTGGTAAATCCAGTGCAGTGGACACTCACTTCATTTCTGCTCAAAGTTAGACCACAAGGCGGTCGTGCGGGACTGCTACCAAGGTCTAAATTGACACAAAACTGACGGGAATATCCCACTTCCCACTCCGAGGCGGCTAACAGATCACCATCTTGGCCGAAATCACAGAGCCTGAGAACACAACTCCGAGGGATGACCACGGCCGCATTACCTTCACCCGTCAAATAGGCGATCGCATTCCCTTCGACCAATGATTGGTGAAGTTGTTCGTATGGCGGCCTTGTTGGTGGTAGAAAATAAACCAGAATACTATTTGATGAGCACGTTACTTGCACTAAAAGTAGAAAACAATAACATCCTGGTATTGTCAGCCATTTATCAAGCAATTAAATGATTTGCTCAAAAGTCAAATTTTTTGTGGGAATCAGATTATAAGCTCCTGAATCAGTACTAATGAAATCGGGGAAACATCGTGACGCAGGCATCTAATCAAAATATTCATCAAATTTTGCATTATTTTAGGTTAGATTTTGGCTTTAACTCAAATTGTGCATTGAGAATGGCCACAATTATTCGATCTTGCATTATTAACCAAGTTTGGCAACAACTTTTGTGAGAATATTGCTTACTTGGTCTTAAGTTCACATCAACTGAGCTATTTACCCCTATGATTAGTGGAAAGAGGTTGTTTCATCGACAGCGTCTATAAAGCCTGTAAAAAATATACGTATTTTATGGCTTTCATGGGCAAATTTGAGCTAGCAAGAAGACTAAATCGAATCCCTATAAAGTTACGAAAATCCTAAACTTGTCTTTTGGGAATAAACCCATTCCAAATCAAAATTTGCCTTTGTTTTTAAATAAAGTACAATTTCCGTGGCATATAAAATAATACCAATCGCAAATGGCCCCTTATTATCATTTCAAAAGCATTATAGTCAAACATGCACTTTAGGATATCTACTTTGCCGTTTTGTTCAAAATGTTTCGATGCAGATTTTTTTCTGGCAAAAGATCCTCCTTCAATATTTATGTAAAAGCCTTCCTTTCCTTAGCCATTAATCCAGAATTAATTACAAGCTCGAGATGATTTTAAGAAAACTCATTGCTCCTAGTTGCACTATCATTTAGTTTAATTTAGTGGCATTCAGAGGATACA